AAATTTAAATCTGTATGGCACTTTACTCCAATTGGCTCATTCACTTGCTTATATTGTTTTGTGTTCATTTTGTTTAGTTTTTTTTCCTAACAGATTTAATGTTTAGTATAGAGCTTAGAAAAAATTCGCAGTATGAGATAGGCAAGAAGTAAGGCATGTAGCAACATCAGCATGGCAAAGGGCACTCCTTTAAAGGCAAGGAAGGGCAAAAATATTTTAAGTCAAGAGATAGTGATTGCTGTACGAGTCGTACAATTTTTGAATCAAGCATGGACAATGCCAGGCCATGCTGCTAGTTACTATATATTCCTTTGTTCCTCTTCACTTTTTGTCTCATCAGATGTTATTCTAATTACAGCTAGTCTTTCTAAAATTGACAAGTTATTCTAACTACAACACATCAATCTGAAATTGACAACTTGGTTCAACAAATTTCAGCTACACTAGCTCTACGTAAGACGTCTTTCCCACTCTGCAACCTATAAGTCTCTTCATCTATTTTTACAATCTCACTCCCCCACTAATAATAGACCAGCCTAATGCTTTTACACCGATCAAAATTTTCAATTTCAGTTTATTTTCATAAAGTTTCACACAATGAGGAATCAGACAGAGATCAAGTTTTTGCTAATAATATGATCTCCACCAAAAAATACACCATCCACAAAAACATCTGTCAGTGAGTAATTCCCATTTCTGTTTATTTCTCACTCTGTTGATGAAGGACACGGGCTTTGCCCAAAAATTCCGAACTTAAAACCTTTCTTTTCATGCTTCATTTCTGTCATATGGTTAATATGTAATAAATGTTTTTTATACTGATTATATTGATACACTTTCATTTGTCCTTGTTTTTTTTTAACTAATCTATCTATTTTACATACCATAAAATGCACACATAGACCTTTTCTTCTAATTATATATTACACACTGAAGTAACAAAAAATTAGAGAGTAATAAACTGAATGTTTTTTCTTTTCATTACTTGTAAAATAGACTTAGCTGGATGATGCATATGTAATGTTATAGGCAAAGAGATAGTGTAGCTGTGGCATCCATGGGATATAGACAGGCTTTAACATGGATCATAGAATGAATTATTGGGGTCAGAAAAAGAACAATTTATTCAAATGTAGTTCTCATAAATAGTAATTGCCACAGGATCTTGAAATTTATATAAATTATAACCCTTCATGTAACTAAAAACAAACTAGTCATTGAAGAAAATACAGTAGACAAAAGTTTACAAAATAGAAATTGAATATTAGTGAATAATTTAACTCAAAATGCTTAGTAAGGCATTTTATTAGCAATTATTAAGATGTTTATTAGCAATAACTTCAGTACATTGATGTCCATAGGACATGACAAGTTTCTTGCACATATATGACATATTTTTCTTTTTCTATTTATATTCCAGTTTTTTCCTCTAAATCTCTTACAAAGTTTGGATTTCATTTCTTAACCTTTCTCTTATCTTTCTTGAGTTCTTGATAGGATTTAAGTCAGGACTTTTCATGACTTCAATATTCTCTTCAAAAATACCTTTCACTGTGAGAAATTCTGCAATTTAAGCTCCTGTTGGCTAATTTTGTAACGACCAATCTCATTGGTCGAATTTGAATTTGTTTTTTTGCGGGCATTTTTCAACGGCCCGTGCTCCTTTGAACTCAGTCACCGACTGATTTTCAAACGAGAAGGTTGACTCATTTATTCCGTGCCCTTAACCCTTACGCAGGCCGGAATATCTTAACTAACAGTTGCTGCAGGGCCTTTAGTGCCCAAGCCTAAATAATTAGGCAATTATTGTTCTTCAGCAACCAAAATGGTAATGCTCCTGAGACGACGTCATGTTCCAGCTTCTTAATACTTTCAAGGCTGTATAATTCTGTCATTTATTGACTGTCGTTAAATGTGTACGTTCATCACGAAGAACTTCCTGCATGATCTCGACAATAGCCGAGTTTCAACATCAGCAACTGAAATGGTAATGCTCCAGCAACGACCAGCAAGTTCCAGCTTCTCCAACTTCGTAGAGACCAATTAAGTCCTACTGAAGTAAAAGACACTACCTATTCATTGATAAACTACCCCACCCTGTTCCCAGGGGCAAAAAAGGGCAAAATCTTTTTTTGCAAGGATACAATAAAATTTGTTTTAAGTTTTAAGGTAGGCCTTGTTGATTGTATGTCTTTCTTGTCTCTGCCAAGGGTTGAACTGTCACATCACTAATTTAGCAATCTGATGGGGGAGGTTGCCCTGTATAAACATTAACTGACTTGTTAGATTCTTCTCTAGAAGAAAATGACACGTTACTTCACTCAGTTTAGATTTATATTAACATTTACCATCCCCATTAATTTCTCTCAGTAGACCCAAAATGTTCAGAAAATAACATTCCTTATACCATTTCACAACACTCTTCAAATTTAGGATTTCTGTCAGGTTTTCATTTTGTCTTTTTAAATTATGATATGGACGAAACTGTCATAAAATCCAACTAAATTGAATTTATTTTAATCACTAAAAGGAACTTTAAAACAATTATCTTTTTTCAAACATGTTTTTCTGTACATTCAAGTCTTGTCTTATTCTTTTAATTTATATGTCTAGAAACTGGAGAATAAGTTTTCAATTGAAATTTCTTCTATCATGTATGTCGGCTCACCTCATTGAGTTCAGTTTTGATTAATCTTGAAATTCCTCCGGCAAATCTGAAAATCATTTATCTCACTTATGGTCCTCTTTAAAGCTTGTCTCACATGGTTGACCAGGTGTTTTCGGTTTTGCTGTATTCTGGTATGTCTAGTACCTGATGCAACACTGCAAATTATTTAGTGAGGTCACTGTTGCTATATGTGATAAATTTCTAGAACATGACAAAAAAAATAAATAAATAAAATGGTCGTATTTTGCCCATTCTATTGCATTCAAATAAAAGGTTTTCTAGAATAACATTTTTTCTAACCCACTTTTGATAAAAATTTTGTATTTGAATTTTAACCTAAACTTCTTTATCTACAGAAGATCATAGTATCCATAACTCCACACCACGGTTAATTGTGAACTTTGTAAGATCTTCCTATGGTTGTATAGTATGTGCTTTGCCAGGGTTTTATATTCACATTTATCCTTCTCCTAGACTGTCAACCATGGCTAGACAACCCAGTTTGCATTGCTATTTAACTCATAGATGGGGGAAAAGAGATGGATTCATATTTTTCCTAAGGGTATTTGTGTGGAAGTGAATGTAAAAAAAACTCTACTGAAACTTGAACATTGCTGATTTCTCATTCTGAGTCACTAGCTATTACACTACTTGTATATTTAAAAGTGATGTAGCAATTACTGTTAGTCAAAAGTACATTTGAATAAGTCATTCTCTTATTTTTACTGGTATTGTATGTGTGAGAATATATATTATAAAGGAAGGTAATATTCTCGTATGATATTAAGAGCCTTACTTGAAATCCATTATAGTGAATAAAAAGACTTTAAATCTGAAAGAATACATTTCCATAATGGAATTTAGTAATTTTTGTTTTTAGTGTTTTATTAGTGATAATCTCTGTTAATTTGCTGAAAACATAATGGTTCAAACTTTCAGATTATTCATAAACTTTACAGACTACTGTTTTAGTTGTAATAATTTAGTTGATATATTCTCTGGACTTCTTGTATAAGTCTGTTAGTTATCTTGAATCTCATTCAGTCTTTCCACACTTGTCAACTTCCATCACCATATCAGAACAACACAGATCTGAGTGTCAAAGGTGCATGTTGCACATTAGATTGAAGTAGTGAGTGAAGTTAGAATAAATTGTGAACATGATTTACTGAATATAGCTGAAGGAGGTTAGAAAGCACATAATTCAAATTGTTGCTTAAAAATGATGAGAATAATAGTTTGAATAATCTATGGAATAATAAATGTTTTAGTTCAGAACTTTAGATATTTATTATTGTTTAATTTTGCAAATATTTATTACTGTTAACACAATGTAAATTTAAATGTGTATGAATTTAGTCCAATTAAACTGTGTCTTATCTATTCATTGGTAAAATCAAATTTATTATATACTTTAGAAAACTTGGATTACATTCTTACAAAAATAGTGTTCCATGAAAATTTTAAGTGGTACTTTTGTAATTTGCAAATTAAGTACAGAGTAATTTCAATTTTTTTAATAATATGGGGAAAAAAGAACTATTAATTATAGTTTTAATCAAAGCTTATTGCTGAAATTAGAAAGCTTCACAATGGAAAAATACAATTATTTTCATTTAAAAAAAAATATCATTAAAGAAAAAAATTCCTTTTGAAAAAAAAAAAAAAAATCATTCTTCTCCATTGCCACTTTTCTTTACAAAATAGTATATATATATATATATATATATATATATATATATATATAATATATATAAAAGGTGTGAGTTTAGAAAAAGAATGTACTTAGTATTTAAATATTGATTGTGACAACTTTATCCAAATTTAGCTTTAGGTCTGATTTATTATCACTGTATACCTAAATAAATCCAGACCAGTACACCAATAATGGACTAATGATAGTAGAATGCTAAAAGCATAACTTACATCATATATATCATAATAATACTCAAAGCATTACTCACACAATAGATACATAGGTATGTAAAAACTATTTGAGGGATCTTTGGGTCATAAGTTAACAGGTTTCAGAGGAAGCATAACAAACACAGCAGTTATATGAGAGATTCTATTTATATTATTTTTTCTGTATTTCACATTTTAAAGTGAACAAAAGTACAATTAAAAATTATATTTTTTTTAAAGAATTTGTCTCAAAGAATAGGCAATTTAAAAAACATTGTTTAAATATGAAGTCTGATAAAAATATTGAATTTAAAACTAATAAAGTGGTAAATATGATTATTTAAAAAAAAAAAACTAAAAAGTAAATGATGCAAATAAATGAAAAGTTATAACTGAAATAAAACCTAAAAGAGAATTGTTATCTTACCTTTTCATAAAGGGAGTGGAATTCATTGTAGCGGCGAAAGATGAACCAGGTGCGTCCAGCAGAATTGACCACCACTTTGTAGACCTGCACATGGAAAAGAGAAGTCAGTATGTTCCAAAGACAGAGGAAACTGGCTGCAAATGGTTTTTCTGCCTTCACAAGTTTAGACAGACTTTTACGGATGGGTAAACAAAAAAATGGACAATTGTCTATTTTGTCATGTCCTGATTTTGAAGAACAGAGATGTAAATGGCTTGAATGGTAATGTAGGCAAGGTGAGCATGAATAAGGAGAGGATTTAATTATCACAGGTTGGGGTGCATGGGTATAATATGGAAGATGAGATGACAAAGAGTAAAGTGATGCATGTTCTTTGGCTTTCTTCTTTTTCCTCTGTCGTTTTATCATTCTGACCTTTGTTGTCATTGTAGTAGTTTCTTGGTAAGGTACAACAGAGACATGAGTAACATCTTCGCTGGTCATGTTAGGGTGAATGGCATCCCCAAGGATAATCGGATGAATTACTCATGCAATGATTAAAAAGAGAAAGAAAAATTGTTTTACGTCCAGTGACTACTGAGTGCCCAAGCAAAGGTATACCTTTGTGCGGTTCACCAAGTTAGGCTTGTGAATTACAAGAATGACTAAGAAAAAAAAAACTAGAGAGTGTTACAACCATTCAGTACCTCTGATAGCAGTAAACATCTAAAACAACAAGCTAAGTAGGAAGTGTCCGGGATATTAGAGTGTTTGATTTGGTGGTTAGATTAGCAACCTTGTAGCTAAGAGGTCTTAAATTTCATCCAAAGTATTAAATAGATAATATTCATTGCTATAAATCCAATCATTAAAAGAAAAACTTATTTCCAGTCAAGAGAAAAAAAAAGCTTCCTACATTTCATAATATTCAATAAAACTGTTAAATCCACCATAAACTTGACATTATAGAATCAAAAACATCTAGGAAGATATTATTCTTAAAGAACAAAATCTTTTTAAGACACAGTAATAAAAGTTTGGATAAAAAATTTCATCATATGAGTATTTGTTTTTCTTTTACACTTTAAAAAAAGAGATTGAAAAAATAATTTTGGTGTAATATCAACATTTATCCATAAAAATTAGACAAAGTTTATGATGAAAGACATAAGGTGTTGAATAGAAATTGCCATAGAAAGGAAAACAGAAAATTTTACAGGCTAAGGCTATGAAATGCCAGAATAAATAAAAATTTTACTGAAATGTAGATAAATATAATTTGCATATATGTTAAGTTTTTAGAAATTTAAAGTTTTAAAACTTACAAAATGTCAGCTCTAAACAAATAAAATTTTAAAAAATTCACTCAAGAAATATTTAAAATTTCAGTTTCACTTGTGATAAGATATACTAATCACCACCTGTAATTGCTTGTTGATGATGATTTGTAAAAAATCTTTTAAAAAACCCGATCATAAAAATACAGAAACTATTGAAGTGAAATTGGTAAGTTTTCAGAGACTTAAACATGTAGTATATTTATGAATACTCAATAGAAATGTTTTAAAATACTACATAACATGGATTTTACTATTTTTATGAATTGAAATATAAACAGTAATTTAAAAGCGCTTTTTCTGCAAGCAAACAAAGTGAAATATCTGAAAGAAAGACAAATCAAATTTTTGAAAAACTTATTCTTAAGATTCACAAAAGGCAAAGACATTAAAATGACAGTAATGCATTATTTGATAAAGTCTTTTTTAATGAAATATCTTGCAGATTTGATATTTGCCTTAATGCAATAATTAGTTTTGCCTGTAGAAGAAAAGATGGAAAATGTTTCCTGTCTGAAACAATATTGGATTGTAAGACAAAATGGTCAGTTAAAAAAATAAGACACTGATAAGATATTAAAAGTAAAAGAGGAATATCAATAATATCAAGAACAGTCAAAGATTTGAAAAAAATATTGGCAAATACTTTCATGTCATTATTTTCTCTCTTTTCCCATCTACTTGATTATTTAAAAAGAAATAAAATTGATCTATTAATCACTTGACCAATCAATTGCAAGCATCAAATAAGTAATTTTCTAAGTTCCTCGGTGATCTATTTGAGTGAAATAGAAAGTAAACAGCAAAGATGAATCTAACTTAATAATTGTGCTGTGCAGTGTCTATAAATATTAAAGAGAAATCTAAGCGAACTACAAAATATCTTTAAAATTCTGTAAAAGAAACAGCAAACAAAGAAAAATATGTTATAAAAATGAATTAATGATAATAACTCATCATGAGTTAAGAATTATGAACAAACATTCTAAAACATATAAGTATGAAAACAGTATTTCTTCAATGTATCAAGTTTATTTTATTACTGCTAATATCTCATTTAGTTATACTATAGCAATATTATAAATACTTCTAATGTATATTTCTAATATTATAATTTTGGATCACAACAGTTTTTATAATTATTATTTGTAGTTACTATTCTGAAAAGAAATTGTAAATTTTTAAATGTTTAGTGAGGATAAGGTAAGCATTTTTGTTTTGTATTTAAAAAAAAAGAAAAAAGAAAAAGATTGTAGACATATGAAAAAGTAATGAGTTGTTAAACAAGAATAATTTTTAATAAAACTTTTTTATAAAGAAAATTAATTTGAAAAAATTTATTGAAAATCATTTTTATTAAGGGATCATTTTTATCACTGAACCTGACAAATGTAAAGAAAAAGCAAAAATTCTTTTAGGTTGAAATAAATAGATTAGCTCTTAGTCTGTTATTACTAAAATTATAGCTTCTTTTGTATTGCAAGTCTGCCTTAAAGTATTATTAGCTCAAGTAAAAAATTGGGATTTGACAAATACTAAATGACTGAAGGAAATAATAGAAATAAGTATTTTGAACAAGCAAACATCAGTTTTAGATATAGATGAGAACATAACTACAACTAGTTAAATACCAGGTGTTTTCTTATAGTATGAGAAACTGATAAAATATATATGAAATAAGTAAAGAAAATTGTAAAATACTAATGAAATATCTGTATCTTTTAGGTGGAATATTGTTAAAAAAAAATGAGGTGGGGGGTACTATAGTTATTTAATTACCTATTGTATACAGAATTGTTCAATGCAGATTTTCAAACTGGAAACCAAGTGGTTTAAGCATGTACATAAATATTAATACAGTTGGACTTATTATCCCATATTAAAGAAGTAAAAAGTTTCACCAGTTCCAATAGTTATATTTTATGTTTGTAAAGTACTTGTATATGAGAAAATGTATTTAATTCCACATTGTATGATTGGCTACTAGACTTTGTTACAAAGAACAGCATAAAATTTAAAAGAAATATATAAATGCCAATCTAGAATTTGACAATACCCTTTTTATACTGTTATGATGAATAATCAATGCTTCTTCTTAAAATGATGACATGAGAGACTATAAAAGAATTAAAATAGAGGCATCTAAATTTGAACCTCAAATAAAATGGAGATTTTTTTAAAGAATGATCTTAAAATTGAAAATAACAATTTTAAGTTTTCAAATTTAGGCATATTTTCAAACAGGATTATTAACAAACAAGGAAATACACCTGCTGTTGTACAATGGTTAAGAAGCTTATATTGAAAATAAATTAATTAGTGTAATGAGTTTGAGTTTCCCAGGGACTTTTGGAAGACTAAACTTAGTAAATAACTTAATAAATGTCAAAGTCTTTTACAAGTTTTCCACCCAAAGAGTAAAATAACACAAGTATAAACTTTGTCTTGTTAAAAATATCTATTTGAGACAGAAACTATAAAAATATTATAAAATAAAAAAATATTAAACTGCATTATGAAAATAAAAAATTATGGTAGTATAAAAATCTGTACATTAATGCTTATATGTTATTTTTTATTCTGTAAAATTTGTTACTCAAAAGATATTTAATTTCTTGCCAAACAGGACAAATCAGTCAATGAATCACAGAAGAAAAATGACATTTTGGCTTTTGGTATATGATAAAGTGGAGTGAATTTTTTATGTTTTAGAATTTAAAAGTCAGTTTCAATTTTAACTAATACTAATGGAAACCTTTGTTTTGATGACGTCATTACTGGATGTCTATCAAAAATGATTTGACTTTAAAAGTAACTAAGTGGAACATTATAAAAACTGAAATCCATAAGACCTAAAAAAAAAAAAAAATATGAAGCATAGGTAGTTTAATTCAGTTATCAAAAACTGTTGAGTGAAACAGAAAAATGATACTTTCATTAAAATTCAACAGACAATAATAATTAATGATTTAGTGATTACATTGAGAAATAGTGAATATAAGGATTCAGAGTTCAGTACAATAAAAAAATCCTTTTTCTTTATAAAAGTGAACAAAGTTTTACTTGTAAAATCTAAAACAAAATATTCAAATTCTAAAGAAATTGAAAAAAAAAGTCTCATGAAAACAAAAACAAATTGAAAATCAAATTGAAGCACTATTACTTAAATAAAAGCAATATAGTAAATGGAACTATTACTTAAATAAAAGCCCCTACAAATAGTAAATGGAAACAGAAAACTGAACTGAAATTGTCAATGAAAGAAAAAGACCCCAAAACAGAGCTGTAAATAAATTAGATACAGACAAAAAATAAATTAATTATGTCACAACAACAAAGTAATGAGTCAATAGCAATTGAAAGAGAGAGTGAGCAAATAACTTACAAATGCACCAACAGACACAGACATTAAAAGAGAGAGTTTATGGTAAAACTTAAAGTGAAGCAGACAGTAAAATAAAGACATTAGGGAATGACAGAAGGAAATGATTGAATTAATGCCTTGTTAGCCATTGTAGTGGTTGTTGTTTTCAAACTGACAGTTGAAAAAATGTGACTCCTTTGTTTTTCTTCAATTGCTATATTAAAGTTACGATAAAAGATGTCCACCCATTTCTTCCTGCCTTCATTTTTTTTTTTTTTTCTTTCCTTTTTAAAATTTTTTGGTTTGGTTTGTTCTGGATTGGATTAGATCCATTGAGGTTTTTAATACAGTTATTAATTTTACCAACAATATTTGTAATAAAGCTGTTAAGACATGTGTATATTATTAAAGTTATAAAAATAATTAGAATAGTATGTCCCTGTATTGAAGTATTGGTTGCAATTAGTGGATGACATGTGGTGCATGCAGCTGTTAAGAGTTTAGCATATTCATGTCATATAGTACAGAATTTGGTTTCTAAATAGTTGTATAATTGAATAAGAGAGGGAGGATTAACTGTATACTTTTGTGATTGGTCAGTCTTTTGGATTTAAGGGAGAGGGAGTGACTGTGGTCAAAGTTATTTATTTTAACTGGCTTATTTATTTTTCACTTGTAACGTCAGTGACTATTATTAAGCAAAACCTGTATGAAGTCTGAATTGATTT